TATATATATATTGATGTTATACAAAAACAATTGATTAATGGAATTATTCAATTACCATTAATTTCATTACGAAATTAATTGATGTAAATTCTTATTAAGTATATATATATATAGATAGATGTTAAGTCTGACAATACAAAATAAATTTTTGGGCGAGTGTGACTTGTATACCGATTCGCGGTTACTGCCCTTAATTAGATTTTTTTTTTATTAGAAACGATATACGTCGTGTGCGGTAAATTCTTCTAAGAAGAATTCAGAAGAATTTCTTGTTGGCTTTCAGTAAGTTATAGCTCGTCTTTATCATCTAGATTAACATCGCTGAGATCAATCTCTTCTTCCTGTGGAGGTTCAGCATCCTTACCATCCCAAGGCGTTGTTTCAATAATGACAGGCAATTGAGCACCTTTCAAGGGCGCAGTGCCACCTCTGCCGTAACTTAGATCTCTTAGGAACTCGTTTATTCCATCGTATGAGAAACTACCTTTTAACAAGGAATATTTCATTTTCTTGATGTTAACGGCTGCTAATGCGGGGTAGCCGAAACCTCCAATCTCTAATGCATCCTCGATGTGTGGTTGAGCACCAGCTTCAGCCCAGACCCATCTGTACAAGAAGCAAAATAATTAAAATAAATTAAATTATTAGTATTTGTGACTCTAAGAATAAATCCAGTATAAGTAAAATGTGAGCTTCCGTGGTTATTAGTACGAAAATTGTATAATTGTGTAATTGTAAGGCAATAAAATATAATTCACAGACCAGTTGTACTTCACCAATTACAGAATTTTGAAGGACTCAAATCCAGAGTAGAAATATAATTATTTGATAATTGTTTGCGAATTATATCTTATCGCTTTATGAATATATAACTTACAAACTAATAAGTGGAGACTAACATAGACACTTGTGCTAAAAGTAGAACATTCCGTGAAAATAGTTAACATATTGGATGAATTCATACGAAAAAAACTTGATTATTACTTCTTAGAAAAATTAAATTATAAAAGATCTTTTTATCAATATCCTATTGTTTGACTGACGTGCTTTCTTCTCTAGTTAATTTAAAATAAATTTTGCAATAAAAATCGAAAAATAAAAAAACACCGATTGGTTTCAGAATCATGTCCGAAGCATGAAAAAAAGGAACAGTTATGAATCATTTTAAAAGTAACATATACGCAAATTTAATGCGTACCCCCACATCTTCTTTTTGTATTTTTCACCGAGAGTACTTAGAGTTTTCAAGTATCCATTTCTACAATCGGACTGACAGTCCAGAATGTGTGGCAGAACGGAAACCACACAGATCGGCTTGTCTTCGCATGCTGCTCTCAGCTTCTTCTCGGAAGTGATTTGCACCACTTCCGGCGCCGGGATATTCTCGGCTAATTTCTCGAGTGCCCAGTTAACAATATCACCGCTTGTGCGACCACCGTCATAATCTTGCATCGAGTCAGCATCCTTCTTGCCCGGTGCGAAGAATTTAATGGTGGGATAACCTTTAATCTCGTATTTACTTGCCTGCAATATTATATGCGTTAGGCCAAATATATCACATCAATCGCATTACAAAATATTTAAGACATGTATCTCACTTTCAACGTGTTTACAGTGGCATCCAGAGCTCCCAGTTTGATTTTGCCTTTTAGCTCGGTAGCTGCTGTCGCCCATTCGGGTGCTAGATTCTTGCAATGGCCGCACCAAGGAGCGTAGAATTCGACTAGCCACATATCTTCAGAATTTAAAACAGTTTTATCGAAGTTCTCGTCTGTCAATTCTATCACATCCTTGGAATCTTTGCTCTGCAAATAAATATTTAGTAATTTGCATGCCAGGAAATTATCTTTTTTATTTATATATAAAATCATATATTCTATTTCAATACTCTTCATAAAAAATCTAGAGCTAGTCATATTCGAATTGTAGTTTACCTTGGATTCACCTCCCGAAGTTTTACCACCTAACACTTTTCGAACTTTTTGATTGGCAGCATTTAACGCAGCATCGACAATGCCAGCTGCACTTCTCGGACCATTGTAGTCTTCCGGCTTTTTGTCAAGTCCGAATATCTTGATTGTTGGGAAACCACGAACACCATATTTGCTTCCCAGAGATTTGTGTTCGTCAGCATTTACCGCGCCAACTTTTACAACACCCTGTTAGGATAAATTAAAGGTATATGTAATAAATGAACAAAAAAAAGTCATATCAGTCAAAGAAAAATTTTGGTGCTTATTATTTTGTATTAATTTTATTAGTTTTAGCTCAAATAACTGTAAAATTCATACAAAATATTATTTGGCACCAAGATCTGCTTTGATTGGATATCACCTTCTTTGCTCATTTGTGTTGAACATTTCCTGATTGATTTACTTAATATTATTTAATATTATTTAAAGATACATGTATATATGTTCACATGTATGCTTTGTGTATATATTTATATAGAAAAATTAAATATGAGCCATATAAATAGGAGTCACCTTTAATGCAGTAGCTGCTTTGTCATACTCTGGCGTCAACTGTTGACAGTGTCCACACCATGGCGCATAGAATTCAACCACCCAGATGTGATCACTATTTAACACTAAATTATCAAAATTATTTGGCCTAAGATCAACGACGGCTGAATTGGACGCGTACATGCAGTTCGCTCCAGCGACTAGCAGAAGGATACCTGCAAGGAGAAAAGTATGCAAACAAGATGTATGGTCCAGAGGAGGACCTATGTCTAAATTTACTTATTTAAACACTATTTAAGCTACGCGGATAGGTTGCGTGGGAGCATAGGAGAATGGTGACGTTTCTCTTACGGAATGGATCTCGAGGAGACACTTGTTGCGATGCCGTTCACACAGAACGATATCACCGGAATTCGTAGCAACGTTAAGAGCCACCAACGTCGCCGATAACCGGCATCCTGCGCTGATAATTCGGTGAAACGTACGCATGTGACTTACCTAAAAGCCTCGACATTATTTCGTGGATTGTACAAGCGACTCGAGACATTGCACCAGAAGTCATTCACATCCGCCGAAAGTTACAGCGAAGTGAACGAGCGCGCTACTCCACCTCCGCACAATGCTCCGACCGCTCTGACGTTCACCCAGATGCACTGGTGGCATCTCGGTCGCTGACAAGCGACTTTTCGTGGACTATTCCGATTGGCTCGCCGTACTCATGAGTCTTCGATGTATCGCGATGTATCGCAAATCGCGAACAAGACGCGCGCGTGCAAATTTGAATTGTTCGTCGCATTTTCCTTACTATTTTCGATATTCGATTTTCTTCGTGAAACTCTGCGAAAAAACCTGAGAAATTCTTTAAAAA